CAAATTTAGCTCATGGCATTAGGCGGTGCACGCAGTTGACAAACAGCCACTGTCCTTCTTCCAAAAACTTGCTTTTCATATTCAGAATTATATTTATTAACCTTTTTTAATCTAACAGTTTTTTTTTGTCACTTCCTTGTTGATGATGGTGATGCAAGAACTGGATTTTGAGACCCAAACACATCAGCTGTCTGTATTTCAATTAATATTTCCTAAAATAAAAAGGATGGCATCTCCATCGTTAAGCAGTAAAGAAAACACTCTCGAAAGACACAGGATTCAAATTTAAATGAACACTAAACAGCTCTCAAGATTTTTATGCTGCGCCCAACAGCTGACTCCTTCCAAACTGTCTCATGCTTGGAATATTTCCAAAAAAACACACAGAAAATTAAGCATAAAAAAATGTGCCTTCTCTGTTGTTAAAAGGGCTATTGTACAAATACCCCAGCTGCAACTCTTAACATGTTAGGAGTGACAGGCTCTGAGGTGGTGAGCTGAAGGAGGATGAAACATCTGCATCCCCTGAATGGTGGGAGGGAGCAATTCCTAGTGAAACAACTCCCCCTGTCTTCTAAGTGTGGATCAACAATGGAGAAACAAAACCACCCAGTTTGATTTTTTTATTGTAAAATTGGAAAAAAGGAGAGAACAAGAGAAAAGTCCCGATAACCATTTCTTTTGGACACATATCATTTTCTTACCATAACCATGAAATAAATAGACAAAAATAATAAATAAATGAAATAAATAGCAAATAAATAAATTGATAAATAAACATCAAGTTACACACTTGACCAGGTAATTAATTATAAAATTAGTAAATCATCAATTATTAATAAGAATTAATCTAAGCAGCAAGTATTAAGAAATTTTAACAGGGGAAAAAGTTTGGTTTCTCAGGCTAATACAGAACACATATTTTTTTATTTATTATTATTAGATTTTTTTTTTTATTATAAAAAGATACTGCTTTCCCTGTCAGTTAATCCATGCTGTACTGATGCTGCCACAAAACAGGTGGCAGACTGTAAAAAAAAAAAGAGAAGTAAAACAAAAAGACAAATTCTACCTGTAAACAGCATTTTTATCCTTCCAGTTTAAAGACTAGTTCTGAGATTTCTCTTTTCGCGCCCTGTATTTCAGCAAAGTCTCCTTGGAGACTAAATACTGCTGCTTCTCTGTTTCGTCTGCTTTTGTGCTGAGAAACCAGAAAGTTAACATCTTTATAAAGCGAGACCCTTCCCCATCCCTCCCCCGTTTAAACCCGCTAACCTCTATGTAACCCAAAGAAAAAGGGTCCTGTGCTGATTTTTTATATCATACAAGATTTTCATATTTATAATAAGCTACTATCCTTAGCATTCAAACAATAGGTAAAGAATCATATTGTTAATACAAGAAATACCAGATTCATAATCTTCATCCCTCCCGGCCCCTATTGAGCATGCTCAGATTAAAAAAGGGCACCATGGTAGCATGATAAATATTAACAGAACAAATGATTTAAAAAAAAAAGAGTGAAAACTATGCAACAGATCAACTTTAGCTCAAACCACATGCAACTTAATTGGAAAACTACAAAAATCATTGCTGCCAGTTCCCTTTTCCAGCCTCTCACAGATGTTAAACGACCTAACCTTTACGGAAGCTCACAGTAAACACTGTGGGCACACACTGACACACCTGTTTTTTTTCAGTTGTTTATCATTTCTTTTTATGTTTTTATGTATTCCTCCTTAATGTGGGCTGCCAAGAATTTAATGCATTTAAAAAGCCTTACATTTCAGCCATAGTTTTCATTTATAATTTTCTTTTCTCAAGCAGTTTTGAAGGCAAAATCTAATTTGATTTTAATAATTTAAAAAAAAAAGAGCTCTCGAGTAGAAATCCCATGAGAAAGAGATATTTTGACAGGGGTTTATAAGGCTCTGGATGGCCCGGAGGAAGCAGGGCATATATCACAGCTTCCTAAAGCTGCTTCGCCCTGACAGCGAGCATGGAAACTCACATTTACTTGCCCAGGGAAAGGAGCTGTCTTCTAGCAAATATATAAGAAATCTAACCTTTTCACAGGAAATCTATATCGTATATCATTTCAGAGGGAGCTGACCCTTTTCCTACTGTGGTATGCTATATCACAAAATCAAATATTTCATTCTGCTAAAGAAGTTTTTTCTAAAATTAGGATATCTATAAGACTAGCGTTAAGGAAATCTGGCACATGTTTAAAGTCTGATGAACTGCAATGGATATGCGTGAATAATTTTGGCAATTCATGATGAGAAAAGGCATATGTAACAAATGTCTTTATACAGCATCTAAATACTGCTTGCAACAGAGCAGCATACAGTGAACAGCAGTGAGATCTACTAGGAATCCTGCTCCCTCTTTCTTATTATAATAATAACTCTGATCCACTGAAGCAGGAATCACACGAGGATAAAGAGCAGCGGAGCCAAAAGTAATCAAACAGAGGCGCAAAGTCATCGGGATCCGGAGAGACGCTCTGGTGGAAACAAACCACAGAGGCAAATTCGTCATTTTTTTTGTCGGAAAAATCTAATCTGGACTACTGTCCAGAGCGCTGACGTTCCTAAAGTTTGGAATGTTGACCAGAGAGCGAAAAATCTCAGTGAGTCCTGAGGGGCGAAATGCTTCAAAGAGCAAACTGAGTCATGGAGTGGCATTTAAGAAAAAAAGAAAAAGCCAAACCATGAAGAGGAAAAAGTGAAGCCGTCAGAAAGAAGCCTTTGAAGAGAACTATTTAAACTGAGATCAACTGAATGTGTGTCTTCAGACCAGGATAACTGGGGTTGAGTTGATTAATCATGTCTCATGGAGAATGCAGTGCCATGACCTCACCGCATTGGGGCTATGACTGTGGCTAATAGTAAACTGTCCCACTGAAGTGGCAGCAGCTGTGGCAGCGGCACGTAAAGCCCTGCTGGTCTCTAACTGATGGATCATTTTGCTCTTAATTGAACCTGCGATAGCTAGAAACGGCAAGCTGCCTTTCACTATGTACGAGCTCTAACCGTGCAATTATACTGCTCGGTTAAAATCAAACAGCAGATATCTACTATTTAGTTAAAACGTGTGTCTTAAAAGCAGATATAATACTAGATTATTGACCAGATCCAACAGTGCCTCATAAAAGCAGTCATCCTATATTTTGTCATGTTATTATCACAATCCTCAGTGTGCTTTACTGGGATTTTAAGTGATTGACAAACACAAAATAGCAAATGATCGTGAAGTGGAAGGGAAACAGGTTGGGTAAAGAATGCACTAATCAGGAAATAAGAACAGCATTGTTTAAAAAAAAAGGCAGGAAAAGTCCTGTCTGCCTTAAAGGTATAGTGGAGGATTTTTGCAGATTTTTGAAAAGAGACGTGCAAGAGCATGCACGAGCCCATTTCTCCTCATGCACGCTCTGTTTAAAAGTTGCTGTTTGCATCGATCATAGAAGATTACTTTCCATAAGAAGATTTGCAATTTTTCCACTATGTCAGACTGACCATCGGTGAGTGAATATGGGGATGAACACGTAGGACGGCCTTACGTAAAAATATCACCAGAATTATTGACAATTTTAATGATCAACCCGGACAAAGAAGATCCTCCACTATACCTTTGTGAGGGACACAGCAAACATGAAGAATTTATTTTGCTTAGATAATACTAAAGTGAACTGTTATGCAACATGCTATGCGTGACAGAAAATTAGCATTGCACGTTGCCTTGAACATACCATCACTGTGGGCATGGTGGTGGCAGTCAAGAAATATAGGAAAACATTAAATAAATTGCTATCCCAGCAAACAAACTGCTTAGATTAGAGTACACCTCTGTGAAAGTTGCAGTTTGCCGTTTCCAGATGTTCTCCACCCAATCAGACTAAGCTCAAGCAATTTTGTAAATAATGAGAAAACATTCAAAATGCAGTTGTGCGAAACTGCTAGAAATAAAAACCAAACAACAACTGTTATTTTCAAAAGGGGGTTTTAGGCAAAGCTGACCTTTTTTGGGCATCATACAAAAGACTGCATTGCTTTTGGATTTATATAACGTGACGAACATAACCCCTTTTTCCCTCAGCATTCCAGCCTGTACTACTTTGTGATGGTCTGTTGTATATATCCCAGTTAGATAAGTTTAGCACAAAGGGAGACGAAAAGACTTCAGTGAGAGACAGATTAACTCTGTCACTCAGTCAGCTTCTCAGAAATGCCAATGTGACAATTGATTGTGTGTCTCTGCTGCTGCGGTGCTGCTCGGTCCGGATCAATATCACCATTATCGTAATTATATTCTGGTTTAGTTTGGGGCTTCCTCATCCACTGATGATTCCTGTTAGCAGACAGTTAAGCTGGCACTTTGACGTAAAGGAGGAAAAGTGATTGGGTAAAGTAAGAGCGGCGCGGGGGGATGGGGGCTCTGCTCTCCCCTGCTGGGAGCAGCTTGGCAGTGGGAAAGGGCTCGACCCGGCAGGGACCAACTGTGAGACTTTAATAGATTTATATTTTTTCCCCTGCAGGTCCAACAGGTGGCACTTCTACCACAGTGGTTTATGGTCAAACGGTCTGTCCTATAAAGGTGATTAGCGACAGCGTGGAATGATTGGTTTGTCTGAACTAAACTGAGGGCAGCATTTGTGGTCTGGTTTTGTTTGATTTTTTACAATCGCTGCTTTGTGGCAATAGTATCGTTACTCCTTTTGGCAAACGGGACTCAGAAACACAGACAGATCACACTTCTGAGATGAAATGCTGGCAACGCTGATGTATCAGGAATAAAATGACATATCTGAACATGCCCGACACAACGTCTAACCCACATCTTCTATGCTGCTAAAATAGTACAGCTTCATTTTTATATATTAATTTATTTTTTTTAACACATTTTCTGTTTTTGCTTTTAATATTATCCAACCCAGTAGCTATAAAGATAAAAGGAAACCAAAAAAAAAAAAAAAACTAGCTCATTTTTTTTTTTTTACCAACCTGAAGCTAGTAATTCTTCTTAAGTTTAACTTGTGATATTATTAGTAGCAGTTTGTAGTATTAGTATCATTAATACTATATATATCGCTGTTTAGAACAATAAAAATGTTTGGTCCTTTGGTCCCTTAGGGGTGAAAGAGTTGCAGTTCTACTTTTGCTATTGGAAACATCATTGACCTCCAAAAGTCAAAGTTCTGCGCTTGCTGAGAGATGGTGAGAGAATAAGAGAAAGAGGGAAGGAGAAAGAAAGTCTGTCAGTGGACGTATAGAATAGCTTCTTCACTCCACTGTTTTTTTTTATCTTCAAGTTTTAACCCTCATTTGTCCAGTAAAAGCCACAAGCGCCACTTTGTTCCTTATATATATATATTTATATATATATATGTGTGTATATAATATGTATATAGAAATCTATTTGTTGTTGCTGCTTTTTTGTTTGTTGCTTACTTAACAATTCAAGTCTTAACAAGAAAAAAGTTCTGTTGTTCAGTCCCATCGTGTCTCTTTTCCAGGTTTTCCTTCTTCGGTGCCATCTGTAGCTGTTATGTCCCCCGTAGAAAGCGCCATTCTTTTCCTTTCATTTTTCCAGAACTCCTCTTTCTGCTCTAATCTGTATCCTCATGTGTTGATAAGAGTGTTGATATGTCTCCCAAAATCTCCTCACGTGTTGATTTTTTTAAAACCTATGTTTGCTCTCAAAGAAAAAAAGCTGACCTCCTCCAAGATATCTTCAAGTGTGTCCTATAAACTCTGGAGAAAAAAAAGAGAGAGAGAAAGATAGAGGAAAAAAGAAGAGTGACTTTAAATTTCACTCCTCATTAAACTTTCAATCCAAAGACCCATTTCTTTAAACTTTGTATATTTCAGTATGGCTCCATTATATCAGTGTAATGGTCTGAAAAGAACTAACCTATGCTGTCATACCAATCAGTCTTTTTCAATCAAAGTAATGACAGATTTTCCCACAAGCTTAGTCTACAATAGAGTTCCAACGAAACAAAAACTACACTGGTAACGATTTATTTTACAATACATCAATAATCCTGTATTAACATGTTAATAACATAGCAAGTCACACTGTATTACTTGGTAACAAGAAAAACTTTATTTTATTTTATAATTACTCCAAAATTAAGGTATATACTTTCAAAGTAATTAATTACCTGCATGCAATTATAAGAATTGTATGTAACTATGTAACAATGGGGACTTTTTGGGGGTAATTACCATTAGGTCACCACATAAGTTTCCCCACACAGTTTCAATGATTATTGGCCACCACCTATCTAACAAAGTTTATTCTTTATTTAGTCTTCTAGGTTTGGTTTTATGTTATATGCCAAGGAATAAACAGCATTTTACTAGATAATAACACATTCATTTATTCATGTGCATGAAATGAATATCAGTTACCGGTACCTTAGATTAGATTAGACAGATTTATTTTGTCATTTTGTGTACATGAGTGTATATAAAAGGAAATTCCATTTAAAACAGCTCTAGAAAATTTTCTTTTTTAAAGTGCAGCCTTGAAACACAGTAATAACTGGTAATAACTGTTTGAAATCTAACAAGTCTGACTTTACCCTGTCTGCATAAAATTTAAAGCACAGCACTTACTAAAATTCTCCATGAACTTTTTCTTGTTACCTAGTAATATAGTGTAACTTGCTACGATATTACCATGTTATTACATGGTTATTGATTTACTGTAAAAGAAAACATTACCAATATCTTGGATTTGAGTAGCCTAGTTAAAGTCGAATCAAACAGAGAGTTTGTGGCAGCACTTAAAACCTGCTGTTCAAGGTCTTCAGCCCATTGGCCGAGGTTTTGCTATGTTGCAGTGGTGAATAGGCAAACATTGTAGGAGCTGTAATTGCAGGGCAAGGTGTTTCTAAAAAGCTTGATGGCCCCCAAGCATGATTAATCCCCTTTGTGCTTGAAGGTTGAGTTGTTAAGTTATAAGAATAATACAATTCTGCAGATAACCGTGCTCAGTGCAGACAGTACCTTCTATTTTTACTCATCAGTCAAATCGCATTACATTCAGACTCTGAAAGGCTTCTTTAGAGACTCAATTTGAAATTCTGGTCCTGATTCTCCAAACCAAAGTCACATTTTTCAGGCTTTTGCAGCACTGAAGAACAATGAGCCAGCAGAGTTTCTTTTTTAAAGTTTTCTTACTTTTCCTGACCTCTGCATGACCTTCGCAGATCCTTTTAAATGCCATTTTTTATTTATATGACAAACTGAGGCAACAAACATCTAAAATGACTTTGCTTCTCTCCTTTATCACCTTCTTCTGCTTTCTGGACATACATTATTTACAATACAGGAGTGCTAGCCCACTGTTTAGAGGTAAATATCAGCGTTGTTTGTCAGGACTATGTTTTAAAATTCCTAAACCTTTGAATTTTACAAAATGTTGCTTTTGCTTATGAATGAGACTCATGAGTTTTTAAGTCATAAATCTTCAAATGGATGTAATGGAATAAAAATAATAGTTTAATCCTTTTATGATCTGATTATATTATAGAAAGTTTTCTCATGAATTTAAAGGAATCCTCATGGCTCGGAAATTGAAGCCAAACAATTTAAACCCAAGCTAAATCTTGAGCTGACAAAGAAACCTTAACATTTAACCAGTGAAATGGCTCAAAGCTCACCTGTGCTGCTGCAGTAAATACTGAAGGTAGGCTGTGTCAGTAAGGGCGGCTGGCATCCTTCGGTCTCTTTAGCTGAACTTTCAACCTCTTCATCCCGATTTGAAAGCCGTTCATGGCCTGAATAGCTGCCTGTGCACTAGCGGGGTTGTCAAAGCTGACAAAACCTGTTAGAGAAACATCAAATTTGTTTAACATCTAGAGAAGAAAGACTCAGGACGTTGCCCAAAATAAGCTTTAAGCCAAAAATCTAAGTTTATGAAAAGAAGAGCTGTTGGGACACGTTGAGAGCTGTTGCTGTCAAAACACATCACACTCCTTTGTCTAGAGGAGATGTAATGTTAGGTTGGTTAACATCTTGGTTTTTGACCTGAATTTTGCAGAATATGACAACATATTTCAGTTAAATCATGAAAAATACATCAAAGATCCCCCTTTGTAGCTTTCTGTAGATAAATAGATATTAAAATTAGAAAAAAAACAAAACAAAAACAAAACTAGTAGCATAATATATATTAAAGTGCTCATCATTTCAGACTATTGAACTCATTGGGGGCTTCCTGCACATGGCAGCCAAAAAATATCAATGTTCTTAACAAGAAAACATTGACAAATCAAAACGAAGGGATAACTGTAGAGGGGGATGCAGAGTTTTCAAGGGTTCTTAAAACTCTAAATCTGAAAGGTATGATACACATCTGTTTTCAAACCCTCATAAGGCAGATACCAAAACTAAATGCCCTAATGGAATTTGTCCTTTATGGAATTATACTGTATATTATTCGTGAAAGAAGGTGATAGAGCCTGATTTTATATATGGGAAATGGATGGGATACACAGAGACATCATTCTTAAAAAGAAAAATCTTAGAAATATTCAGATAATTGAAATTATAGCTCCACGGTTAGTCTAATCTTGACCGTTATGTTTACAGAAAATGGCTCTTGAATTATGGTTGTTTCTGGTGCAAGTATAAACTTGCCTCCTGTGCTGATTGTTCCTGTCGGCTTTAGAAAGGAGGTTCTGAGGCTTACCACATTTACACCCTGTGTAATTCAGTCTGACTGGCCAGGCTACAGTAAAGCACTATTAAAAGACTAAGAGAAAAGTCTAATACTGGTTGCTGTTTCTTATATACCGCTATAGGGGCCAAGAAAATACGTGCAAGAAGGTGTTCTGGTCAGAACAAAAAGGTGTATTCACCCTAAACACAGCATGCACATCGTGAAACATCGCAGCTAGAGCAAAGACAGGAAACCTGGTAATGGGAGGATGGATGGAGTAAAATATGTGGAGATACTAGGGAAAATCCTGCAAAAAGCCACTAGAAACTCAAAAGGTTCAACATTCAGCATTGCAACATTTGAAAACATGCAAACAGAACTATAATGGAAGGGTTTAGATTACAGCATATTAGAACAGCCCAGTCAAAGCACAGACCTAATTCCGATTGTGTGATCCGTGTCTGGGCTTTAGCTGTTTCACAAAAAAAGGATACCAAAAGTTTCTTTTTTTAGAAACAGGTTACTCCTCTTACAGCAGTAAATGCAAGAACAGGTTGTTCTACAGAATTGAGGCCTGAATTCAAATATACACTTTTTTATTGGTAACAGATCTGAAAACCAATCATCATTTCTGTCCCACTTTATTCACTACTTTCTGTTTGGTTATTACATGAAATCTCAATAAATGTTATTTTTATTTTTTTATTCTATAACTTGGGGGGAAAAAAATCAAAGGTATTGGTTTTTGAAAGCAATGCATTCAAAACGACCTTCAAATATATATATATACATATATATATATATATATATATATATATATATATATATATATATATATATATATATATATATATATATATATATATATATATATATATATATATATATATATATATATATATATATAAAAACAAAAACACACTGGAGGATCCAAACCCATCAGTGTGTTCCTATCTAAACCCACCCCTCCTCAAACCTATGCTGAACTTCCTGTTTTCATCATGCATAAAAAGCGAGCCTTGAGATTTCAGTGACCAGAAACTGCAGTGGAGTGTGTCTCCGCTTGATGTGCTCCCATGTGTCTGCGGTGCCATTAGGTACAGTTAATGACCCATGAAAAAAAAACAACAGGGGCCTTCTCGCGTACAGAGCCACCTGGGAAACTGTGGCTGGCTTTCCTGGATCTGGTTTGGCCCATTAGGGGTGAAAGCTCAGCAAAGACGATGATGCCAACATGAAAGTCAGATGCAATAAAAGAAGGTGACCCCCCCACACACACATATATAAAAAGATAAAACTAAATGGATACGCTGTAACATTAAACATTTTCTGTAGGTATGTTGTTTGGGGCCTCATTAATCTAAGTGTATCCCCTCTTGCTCTTTTCAGAGCTAATTATATCAAAGTGTTGCCTCCTTACCAAGGCTCAACATAATGTGTATTTCTAATGTACTACTCAACATTACAAATAGATCTTCTTTCATGAGTATCTGTTATTAAGCCCCATCTACAAACCAAAGCATTCAGCTCTGGGAATATTTTCCTTTTCTCAGGCTTCTGTGGTTTAATTTAAAATTAACCAAACAATCACTGTTCAATAAACATCCTGCTCAGGTCCTCCCCTGAACAGACACTGTCAAGCTCTCCAGTGCCTGTAAGGTTAAGTTAGTGTCTAAAATGAGCTTAATGAAAATTGGAAGTCTGGAGGTGTGTGATTAAGTCTTAGCAGTTGCCAGTATTGACAGGAAGAAGGGGTTACAGAATAGTGACGAAGATGCTGATACAGCGGCTTGAGGTTTCTGGGTCAGGCATCTGCCAAAATGAAACAAGGACATGGAGTCTGATCGACTGCATCTCGGATAATTTGAAAGCCATGTACTCAGAGCATCTTTTTCTCTGTGTTCATGCCAAAGCACCAGGAGTCATCAGAATGTAAATTGGGGCCAGGCTGTCTGGGATACGATCAATTCACAGTTTGCAGGTTGTCAAATTCTGTCACATCCGGGATAAACTGAGAAAAGGAAGGATTTTAAATAAATCATAAAAAAAAAAAACATATTTTTCAAATTAGGTATTCAGTAAGCGGTCTAAAAGATGAGCATATACTGCTCATCACCTGGACCCTTCATTAGCTGCTGTTTTGTTCCCTGGTCCTACAGTTATAATACAGAAATCATCAGAGCAGGAAAAAAAAGAAGATGACGCATAAGCTCTCTACGAAGAAGTTTGCATTATCCCAGGTTTTTACAGAATTTACATCAGGGAACAAAACTGATTATCTGAATACTAGAGAAGCTAAACCTGTCCTGGAATTTCATAAAATTATTATAGTCATTAAACTGCATTAAATATGTGTTAAAATGCGGCTGATTACATAAGTGTGTTGTAAGTTAATCAGCTATTTATACACAATCGTCCTTCCACTTTGAAGCAGCAGGACACTTCCTTTCAGTCTCTATGAGAAATCCCCATTGAGGCTCAAGCAAGAGAGAAAGCCCTGATTGAATAACACTCCAAAATATGTCACTTTCAGTGAGGCTAAACCTCTTAGGGGGTTTATGGAGCAGGGGGGATGGGGTTGTAAAGCTGGATTCTCATTGCTGATTGGCTAACATACTTGAGGATTTTTGACTGACAGTGGCCAGACAGTGAGGAGGTTTTCCTCATGATTTGAAAGGGAGAAGTGATCACTCAGTCGGAAAAGTCATCTTGTGTTTTTAAATAATTATTTTGTTTTATCAATAGATATGTGTAGCTTTAGGTAAGCATGTCTTTTCTGACATGAAAATTACTACGTCTATCTGAGTTAAATCACTTTAAATCTCACCTTTCACCTTTTGTTTTTTCAAAAGGCAGAGAAATGCTATTATGCTATTTATGTTTTATATAAGGAACACATGAAGTGTTGGATCACTACGAATAACTTGCGTGGACTTGAAGAAGAAATATAAAAAGCTCAAAAAGATGGAAATTATTTTAACTGTGGCAATATCGTTTTTAAACAATTTTCCGTGTGGGCTAGTGGTACTGTAATAAAACATTATTTTGCATATCTTTGTCGATGTGGCGTGAATGGACCAGTATGTGTAACTCACCGAAGCACTTGCTCTGGTTAGTTGCCCGGTCCATGAAGACCTTAGAAGAGATGACTGTACCAAAGGGCAGAAACATCTGCATGAGCTCATTGTCTCCAAACTCCTGGGGCAGGTGGTAGATGAAGAGATTACATCCCTCTGGACCTAAACATGGAAGGAAAGGAACCCATGTCAGTTTGAAAAGCATATTTACTGTATTTTATGACATCAAGACAAAATAACTGAAGAGAGAGACACAGTTGTCTATTGAATTGGTCCTTTGTGGTTTTCAACGTTCAATCTGAATCGGTAGATGGCTTCAAATAGTTTTACAGAATAGATGCACTTTATGTGGACTAGTCTTTCTTTTTTATGTGGATTTGTCTTTATTTTATTTTCAAATGGTAACTCACTAATTTATAAATAACTAAAAATAACCTCAAACTTATAATACATGTCTCAACATGCTGGCTCCTATTTATAAATGGGTTTCCTAAATCTTTTTCGTGTCACATTAAAATTCTTATCCACACTCATTCAAGCCTTTTTTTCACAAGTGAAACTTTTTTAAGGACTGGTGTGGACATGTCCCCGCCAACTTTGGACTAGGAGAACAGTTTCCACCAATAAATTCAGCTTTTTTCTTTTTTTCCTCTCCCTCTCCTGCTGCTCCAGAGTCCTGCCTATTGGTGTAATGTCACTGGATCTGTCACTTTGACATATAATATGATTGGTAGTCGCTAATCACTATATTCTTTATAGCTGCATGATTGAAGTAGAGAAAAAAAACACAGTAGTGCTCAGTGAATTCTAAATAGTAGCTACTTTCTAATATGTTTAAGTAAAAGTTACAGGTTGGTTAAAAGCGTAGGGATGCCATCCAGAAATATTTTAGACATTCAGAGCTTTTTCAACAAAAACAGCAACAGACAACTGTTGAGCAATAAAGTACTACCTTCCCAAGTTAGTACTATAATGCAATAAAACAGCTTTTAAATGTTTTTGTTTTCTTTACTATATAAAAAAAAGCATTTCAGCTCGGCTCCTCAGTCAGCGGACCATGACTCACTGTGAAAGGTAAAAGTTAATACACATCTGTTGTTTTCTTATTGAATTTAGGATTTCTGATATCCCAAATGAAAATCTTGCTGATATTTTCTCACACAGAGGTGACCTGACGATTTTTTTTTTCCTGGCATCATTTTATTAGTAGGCAGCTTCATAAATGTGTTTATCAGCAGAGCACAGAGAAACAAGTATGGACAGCTGCAGCTTTAAAGATGAAACAGATTTACTGAGATATGCAACATTTAATACAACATGTCTCCAAGATTACCAGAAGGTTTACAAGAAGAAAATGCTATGATATTTTCAAAATGCAACATATAATTTGGTCTTTTGTAATTCAGCAAGACTCAGAAATAGTTGTGCTAGCCAACCCAGAGACAGATGGAGAGTCCAACTCACAAGTGAGACAGACGTAAAATTGAAATATAAGAAACCTACACGAATTAAAGCACAAACAGCAGAGTAATATTACGTTAATCAATCATTTGAAATATAACTTTCAATACCCAGACTTTGACTTTCAACAATGTAAGGGACAAAAGTCAAAATTAGATTTTGCTGCTTGTGAGGGTAGGTAATCACTGATACAGCTGCAAATAGAAATCATCCATTCATTAACCCACCAATCAAAAACCACAACAGTTTAACAGTTTGGATGTCTGAGAATTATAATTTGCACAGTGTTGTGTTAATATTTGTTCTTTTAATTTTCTACAATTTTTCCAAATGGATAGATAGATGTATTTATAAATACAAAGCATTTCTATTCATTTTTAAACACATTTGTTTACTCAACTGACATTTATTTTTTTCAGTTCAATATAATGGATGGATGTTGGATGGATGATAGATAGATTTCAATAATATCTTTGGACTCAATTTTGAAAAATAAAAAAACCTAAGCGTTCGAATTGCATAACTGTAGGACCATCAGCCTTCAACCTTATTTTCCCCACCAATTTTCAAGACAGCTACACCCTTCCTTATTTTTAGCCAGTGCTTCTGTGTATAAAACTAGACTTTCTAGTGACTTTTTTTATAGTGGGAAAGAATGGATTTTGGAACTTGACCATTTTGTAAAAAAGCTTGTATGAGCAATACAAACAGCGACTTTTAAACAGAGTGTGCACGAGGAGAAACTGGCTCATTCATGGTCTCACACGCGTTTAATAGACGTTCCCTCTCGGGAGCAGGTAAAGGGTTGTGCATGTGCATTTTAGAGTGGAGATGGCGGGTCTTTTCAAAAATTTGCCCAAATCTTCCAATATACCTTTCATTTAAATTGTAACATTTCATATACTTTTCCTGATTATGTGGGAAACTTTTTTTTTACCTTAATAAAACCCTATACTGACAAACTTTAATTGGCAGTCTAGTGATATCGCCAGAATTTTCTGTCTGACACAGTTTTTCTTTCTTCCTCCCCTTTTTTCAGCTATGCAGCAGGTGTGAGCATAAAAAATCACCATGATCCACTTTAAATATTTTTATGAAAGCTGCCCCAGTTTTCCTACTTTAACATTTTCATAATTCTTGTCCCCCTTGGCTGCAGCAGCATGCTTCTTACAGGTTTATTACTAAGGATTTTATTGTTACTTACAAAAAAAGAGCATATGACTATGTTGATCATAAAAACAGAAAATTTAATACAGCTGCATTATCACTGCTCTCCATCTATCTATACTGTATCTTTATGGTGTATATAATGTATAAGTTACCTAAGTTTAGGTGTGAAATGTAATATTGTTTCCTCAACCTTTCCACTCTGTTTACCCATTCCACAGAATTGAGATGTGTACACTGTAAAAGCAATATTGGCCTCTCATGCTCATCTCTGCTTTATATAACCATTACAGTAGGATGGGATGTGTGAAGTGTGAAAGTAATAATGTTCTCTCACCCTCACCTTCTCTCTGCTGCTGCTGCTGGATGACCTGCGGCGGCTGGGGCAGTGTTTGGCCGATGGGAGTCAGCGTGGTGGCTGGGTAGATTGCTGAAGAAAGGGAGAGGGAAATAAAGAGAGGCTGGTGTAAAAACAAGAGGTTCCAGCAGAGAACGGTGTCAAGGATGCCTAAGGTCGTTCATACAGGCGTAACGTGTCCAATCAAAGGCGCTCTGATGTGTTCTGACGCACTGTAAACACCCTGTGGTAATTATCTTGCAGATACTACATGTTTGGCATTTATGAAGTCTTCTTTTCACCCACCTGTGTATTGCTGTACACCGGTGAAGGCTTGCTGCAGGGTGTCGGCGGCGGTGGGGCTCTGGGTAGAGTAGGGCGGCAGGCCATTGGTGTACACCGTCTCCACTGCAGGGTGCCCGTTTGGCTGATGAGGGATGCCGGTGAATCCGTTGACGATGGGTGTGACGATGCTGGGCACGGCGGACGTGGTGATGTTGGCTGGCGGAGAGCTAAGGCCTGCTGGGGATAAGGTTCACCGTTACTGCATAAGGAGCAAGCCTTCCCTGCGGACTTATTTTAAACTAAAAAAACACATTGGTTCCAATGCAGGTGTGCACATAGTCACAAACAACACACACACACACACACACTCACACACGCACATGATATACTGCCTCCTCTCTCTAATGCAAGGACACGGGTGCGACGTGAGTCTGTCACATATCCGCCGTTTGTCGTGACACATCCTGCAGAATAGCTCGGAAGTCAACCTGTGAAAAATGAGCCTGTCTGTTGTGTTTGTGCGATACCCCACTGGCTCCTATTGCTCAAGATGATGAAACCACTATGCAACTTCAGAGCAAAAAAAGAAAAAAGCAAAAAAAAGGGGAGGAAAAGGGAAAAAAGATGTGGTGTAGATAGAAGGAGATTACAGAAGGAGATTTGCTTCAATGAGCAGGTGGCTTGTACTCAAATATGCCTCTTACTTTTATACATAGAAATAAAAAACAATAAAAAACTTGGCAGTTTGACAAATGGGTGGTTTATAACATATATGGTATAAGCCTGACAGGCTGCTGCAGAGAGGTTCATGAGTGGAATCAAAATTGCAAGCATCCTGTTCTCTGCCGTTCAATGCATTTTTAAAAGAACCTCTCGATTTATAAAGTGCTTCCAATTACGCCACAGAATGTCAAAGTACCCTTTTGGAGCGGAATTTCACTTTGTGATCCCCCCTCCCCCTTAAAGGATGTTCTTCGTGGTGAAGCATTTTGAACCAACTGAGGAACAGCTCCCTGGAGGACCTTTTCTCAGTCTGGAGGCCTCACACCCTGATTGGACAGATAACCCTGGTTGTCACGGAAACACTTTAGCACCATTTCATATCCCACAAGCTGGTACCTCTGTAAGGACATCACTGCGAATGGTGGTTCACGGCAGCTAAACAATCATATCCACATGCACGGAAAATATACACTGACACAGACGTGTAAGTAAATAAGTAAGTTGAAGCACTGGGCAGTACAATGTGTTTGGTTACTTTTATGATTCTGCACATATGACTTTTAGTTTTTTTTGTATTTTCTATGCTCTATTGTCTTTTTTATATCACTTGTGTTTCAGCATTTAAGCCACGAAGAGGCTGACAGTCAACAACAGTGGCGAGCAGGGGAATTTTCTTTGCCTAGCCAAACTTGCTGTGTCTTTTGCAAAGGTTTCCTCTTTTTCTTTCCCTTTTTTTCTGGAAACTTCTTCAAGATTGCTTGTTTCCTGCAAAGCTGTGATGAATTAGATGACAGCTTCAGCCCATTCTGCTACCAGAACCCAGGAGACTACCACTCCTACCTCGAGGGCTGGAGGTGGCTATAGTCTGCCTGGGCCACACACACTCTTCTGTACCACCAGATAATGTATCCTCTCCATCATCAAGCCAATTCATTTTCCAAAGCTTAGCAATACTTTGGAATAGCAAGCTAATGTATATTCACCAGCTGTTACAATAGAGGGAACAAGCAGTGCCCTGCACAAGAATTTATACTGCTTGAATTTCTCTTCCCTTTTGTCATAATACAATTGAACACTAATTGATTTTTTGTGCAGTAAAAATTAGCAAATGTTTGTGATGTTGAATTATTTCTAGAATTATTTCTAGTCAGTGTGTTCAAGAGTTGCTGTTCAGAATGCCTTGATACTAGCTTTGCATATTTTAGACATGTTTGCTCATTCCAATGTTGCTACATTTCTTGCAGGTTTGCTAATATGTTCAAATTCTTCTCATCTTGATCTTATCCCATGCTAAAGAAAAGCATTTCACATCCATGTGCAAAATATGCACTATCACTTCTTGACTGGATCTGGTGAGTTTCTTAGTCATTTGTAATGTTAGTTGTTCATTAATGTCCTCTGACAAACCTCTGCATCAGTTTGTTACACTGGATTTCATGTAGGAAGGTCAGAGTAAACAAGACTAAACAGAACATACAGAGAGAGACATATTCTAATTTTATTTCATCTTTATATTATCTATCATAGAGCTATTTGTTGCAAAGGACTACTCTATAACAAATAAAGAGAGTTCAATTATAAATCCGCTCTAAGCTGAACAAACAAGAATAAACCTGGCCTCTGTTTGCCACTAAATGTAAAGAGGGTGCATTTTTGTCCACAAGTGGATCCAACCTTTATAAAATCCTGCAGCTGTGATGACACATAATGTGATATCAAGGCGACTGTCTCTTAAAACGGTATGAACAATAACAATTTATACTATTGCAAGGGCTGTAGCTGACACATATGAACTCTTACATAAAACTGCAGTTTCAGTGTAGCAGTAACAAAGGAAAGAAGAGTTTTGTCATCATGTAGAAAAACTACAACTAGAATTGTTCTGCATTTCTTACAAACAGAATTTATGAAAAACTGTAATTATTTGTTCAAAACCAAAATGCAGATACAGGAGGGACAATTTGTGTGCTGAGGCACGGAATAAGTTTATGATAGACAAAAACAATAACATCCTGGAAGTTAAAACAGTAATTACACGGAGAGACCTTTTATATGGCCCAGTCATCATATTTATCCTCACTGTCACAGCGTTCCCATTTTCAGCATGAGCAAAGCCTAAAAACTTCTCTCCTCAGCTGAAATGAGGGAGTATTTCCTACTGTCCTGAAATTGGAAATAAGACATTTTCATTTTATACCTCACAAGACATATAGTTCTGCTATAGTGGAAAATGGTATTCATAGCTTGTTTACAATGCACATGCAACAGTGCAGATCTACATGCGGCTGTCAGCTTGCACAGCGAGTATCGGTCCGAAATAATGACATGTTGTTCCCCACTTGGGTATGGTTGAAGACAAAGCTATGGGGTAGCAGATTATATATTCTATACAGTTGGAGCTTTACTAAGAATTCATTCCTCGTTTATTCCACACAAAGACAGTCAACACTGCAAAACTGTATGGATAAGTGTAAGTCACATGCATTTATTTATGTCATGAATACAAAATTACATCCATATTACTGTCAGGTTTTTTTTCCGAGGAAGGGAAACTGTTGATTTGCTCTCCGCAGTGATTGCCTCATGGAGCAAGTCTTCGAATATGACAGAGGTATTTATTATGCTAATTATGCATTCAAATCATCGAGGAATGCCATACCCGAGCTAGAGAGTGCAGTCATTACCAGCACAAGGACTGTCTTTTGCTGGAGCAAGTAATAAGCACTCAAAACAGATGCTTTCATCTAACTGATTTAAAATGTGATGCATTTACAGTCAAGGAGAAAATGTCTGTCTGCTGTGAATAATAAATCTGAGTATGGGAGAAAGAGCTTTTTCAAAGGCCAGCTTGCATACCAATAAAAACCATGAAATATTACACATTGGTCTTTAAATAAGTAAGCTATTACTTATCTCTTAGGAAAATCAACTTGTATGTAGTGCAATATTGCTAACACACAACTTTGAATACACATGAACACAAAGATTTCCATTCTGCTATTATCAAGCCATAGTATGTTCTGTTGTTTAAGGTGAGTGTTTTTCATTTTAGTTTGGCCTTCTATGTGTCGATGACAAGTCTGTGGCTTTTCTGTTTGAATATATCAAAACCACATAGAGACATTCAATATATATCACAGGACAAAATGGGCATATTTGATAAGGAGAACCTAAATAAAGTCCTGTGTGTTATTTAAAACACATAACATTTTTTTTAAACAAATGCTTATTAGAGACAGACTATAACCAAGTTCTGGTTCTGTCTGATTTTTCTTTTTTTGTGAGAATCAAACTAATCCCGAAACATTTTTATGGTAATTAAAAAACAAAGATGTCCTATTTATGTTCTTATACTTTGCAAATAAAATGTCATAGGTCATTCCAATAAATGGAATGACCTAATATAACAATTTATTTTCCACTCATAATATTGATGTTTACTTCAGTCTAATATGACCTGCTCTTTTATGCTATGTCAACACAGCAGCTGTTGGTCGAGATAAGCTGCTGTAGAACCAGTCAATACATTTTATTATGTTCAAAACCAAGTTTATGACGCTAGATAAGATATTTTTTTTAACGTTTTATCTGCAAACAATTACCTGGAAACACACAAACATTTGTAAGGGAACAAATAATCAAAAACTCAATTCAAAGTACAGATTGAACAAGCTAGATTTTATGTAAAATTGATGTGGAAGGCTAAACCATCAGTGTGATTAAACATAATGTGGAATTTTATGGTATATGTACTACTTTTAATGAAGAACTGCATTGTGAGTTGGTATAAAGAAACAAAAGTGATTCTAAAATTGGTTGGTATCAGTGAATCATAAGACTGTAGCATCTAATTCAGTTTATGTTATCATAGAATATAAACTTTAAAAGCTCAAACCCCCCAAAAAATAAACATTTCAGTTAACTTAGAGGTGCAAATACACTAAAGGTAAACTGTTCATCAGATGTTTAACCAGTACATTTGCAGAGTCTTTAACTAATTTCCAACAATTATTGGCTTGCAATGACGTTACACAGTTACTTCTGGTTAATGAAGTGTTGGTTAGGCCAACTAAAAATGGCTGCCAATGTGCAAAAAAGATGTTACTCTTCGTCCGAATATTTTCATGCTTTAGATTCTAATTCTTGGAAGTTGAATTGTGTGATGGAATAGAGCCTTATGCTTTATCCAAGAATGATTTAACTTACGAGTTCCCCAATATCTCAAACTATCTAGTGTTACAAACAAGCTTTTGCACTGCCAAACAATTGGAAAAACATGGATGCCTACAACTTTTTCGTCTGTGGATGGATAAAAAAAATCAGAGTTAAGATCCTGAAAGACAAATCTTGCATCTTAAATAGTCGTGTAAGTAACGATTATTATATGAACTTGTACTTGCTATGTGTGTCTGTCAACAAAAAAAGTTCAAATAGAGCATATAGATCAGGCATCCCCAAAGTCGGTCCTCAAGGGCCGCTGTCCTGCAGGTTTTAGAGGTTTCCTTCCTCCAGCA